TGTTGAACGTAGACGAAAGAATTGTAGGATCGAATAACAAAATATGAAGCTTCGTCAGCGTCGGAAGAGTCAGCTGAAATGTTTACGGCGAGGCAACAGCGAGGCTTAACTATTAACATTCTCGAAGTCCCGCGGACGTGCACGCTCGCGTATAATATAGTGCCACTCGTTGCGATAAACAAACGGCTCGTCAATCGCCACGCTAATATCGATCCTCGGGCTTCGCGATCACTCGCGTACAATACACAAAACCAACAATGTCGTCTTCGACTGGCGCATCGAATCACGTTGTTTAGGTACGATGGACATTGATGGACCGGTGCCGATATCGAGGACAATCGCAAATATTTAGTCTCAGGAGAGTCAAAGAGTTCCTGGTAGCAAAAACTAAAAATTAATTACGTCAATTCAACAGTTAAGGTTGATTGAACGAGCAACCGTAAATTGACAATCCCGAAATTTTTAGGGACAGCAAGATTAAAATCGTCAATCGATGATAATCAAATAGTTTGATATCTGAGTTTAATTGAATGGAAATGTATCAAATAAAGTTTAACAGAAATAGAATGGTTTATATCAAATAAAATTTACTTTGCATGACAAAGAAAGATTTTCATGACCAATTTGACGATGTTTAAGAAACTAACTCATAGATTTTAACTTTAACGCCCATAAGGAATTACTTTTTCATAATATAGATATAATTTTCCTAAAATAGTTTTCCTAAAGGTCGGATGGATTTTAAAAGCATTTTTCATATGGCGCGGAATAACCGAATACAAACGGTAACAATTTAAATTTGAAGATTGGCAAACGAGCGAAGTTAATTATAATTAAGCAGAGAACGGTATCAGAGATGCCGTCTACTGTCGCGCGCTGGGACAAATAGACACTAATATTTTCTCCTCCGGGATATATTGACTACATGTAAAGTATCAGATACGCTACATGGGACCAAGTACTGGCGCCAGGGTAGCCACGAAATTCGAAACCAAGCGCTCGACACAATGAGTTCTTCGTCTATATAATGGGCCAGCTGAGAGAGTAGAAGGAAAAGGTAGTGAAGGAGAACTTCTCACGGTTTCTTCTCCTTTCGGGAAGTGTGAGTTATATATATGTAAACTAAAAGTACAAAATGATGCGTATATGAAAACAATG